AAAACAAACACTGGACTCATGAAATGCTGTTGAAGTGTTGAAAGTAACAAAACTGAGAGTAAAATCTTCAAACAAGGGTTTTGTTGGCAGTTTCAATAGTCCATCATTTATTTGTTAAATATGCCTTGTAAGCATATGGTTACGTGTGGATAAGCGTATGAGGAGGAGAACAGACCGATGAACACACAATGTAAACATTTCAGACGGGCGTCGCACAGAAAGACAAAGAGCACAGAGAGAGTTTGATCAGAGGAAACATCGGACAGAAGCTGCACCTCTGAGTGTGCAGGCCTCACAAAGTGCTTTGAATCCAGGAAAACAGATGAGAGCAGCGGGGGGGACGACACCATGTCAGACATTTCACTTAACATTAAGTGCATTGGACTGAGAGCAGGCGACTGTGCAGTTCAATGTGAGGTTAGTGCTCAGAAACCAAAAGCAACATCTCTACACTGCAGTAGTTTTTATCATCATCATCATAATCATCACACAACATTCATTAACTACAAGCTGGACAGAAATAAAGTGTTTTTATTTTTCACATTTCAGGAGGGCAGAGTGGATGGATCAGTTTGCATAGGTTCATGATGTCAACAGTTTCCTGTTATTTGTGGTGAACTGAAGAATGACTTGAGGACCTCCAACAGGAAACACTCAGAGAATGTCTTTAATATGACACAGTTTTCTCTTTAAAGCAGAGAAGTGGGAGGTGCACCTCCTCAATCTGGCAAACGTCTGACAAGATCAACATTTGTCCTTTTAGATCCAGTGTCCAGAGAATATCACAAATCATTTATTCCACAGTGAATAAAAGTCTGCGTTGAAATGAGAGTTGAGGACGTTTGGGGGCAGATCAGCACAGTGTTTTCATGTTCTTAGCAGCTCTAGCAGATTTAAATGTGGTTTCATGAGGGGACGGCTGAGCCTGGGCAGAGGTCTGGCCCCTGATGAGAACTATTCTTGTTACACCCCTGTTCATTTGTTTGAAGCAAGATTACAGAGAACCAGGTGGAAGGTTCCGGATCAGGCAGATCCTGAATGCAAAATAGGGCATTTGTCAGCATGATCACTGTTTTCCCAGAGAATAATTCAGAATTCTTGATGAAAAATAATCAGATGTTTAAGGGACTGATAACTATGAGTGTGTAGAATTTTGTGCAGCTTGATTGAATTTAAAAGGACCGTTGGCAGAGGTACGCTCTCCACTGAGTGACATTCTACTTGGAGCTGTGATGCCCAGATCTTAGAGAATGATTGTGCTCCTACATTTAAGTGAGACAAGGAATAATAAAAGGAGTTAGAAAATCCATTAGTATGAACATTTTTTATGTTGTAGGCTAGTATTAATATTTTTTGACAGTCCTAAGGCTCAGAATGTCTCATTGACGTCGTTATTTTCCTGGAACACTGATTCTCTCCTCTGTCCATCCACGTACAGGTATTATATTGACAACCTGTGACCGTCTACATAAACAGAACAATTCAAAATAGTCAGGGGCCGGAGTCTGCAGCGTCAGACTTTGAACACCCCCCCTTCTTTTAAACCAACTAGCTCTGTATCCCTTTGCTCTAAAGTTTTATGTAAATGCATTGACGGTATATTATTCAGTGCAGAAAAAGGTTTTTTTATGGCTTAAACGTGTGTAAATAATCAACATGGTGGCCATGCATGCACCAGTTATTATACCGATGACCTATGTTACAGCGGACAACAATATAATGTACCAACAACATCTGTTTACCGTGTCAGTAAACGTGGTTATAAGCAGCTTTCAACTTTACTGTCTGTCTCTAGTCACAGAAAATAATCACACTTGTGATGTTTCAGGGATGTTTAGTGCTAACTAAAATAAACATCTAATATTCAAATAGGCCATATATAAAAGTAGCAGATGTGTATAATAACCCCTGATATCTGAATGCAACTTGACAGAAGTGTGTGGTTCGTCTACAGGTACGATGATGATTGAAAACCTAAACCTGGGAAACACATCCTATGGGAGTCAGAGCTTTGTGTCCAGCAGCAGCACGGCAGCGATCACACAGAGGTTGACTGGTTTAAAACCCTCGTCAGGTGAGTAATGTGGACTATTATTGTACATGTACAGTAAGTAAACTCTAAAATTCTCCTTAATATAACAATTCTCCTGTGGACAACGTTCACAGTCGGTTGCAGATAACCTTGTTAATTGTCTGATAACATTTTGAAACCAGCGTTACGTTGACTCAAACAAAGACACAGTACCAGTGAGCGTCACAAAGACACAGATCTTCGATGCTCAGAGAAACGAAGTAAAACCTATCGGGGGAGGAGACGTTCACAGTGAGCTCCTCTGGCGTCAATAGATGTTGGGACAGTCAGTGTAATTCCTGTCAAAGTATCCACCTGTGTAGAGCCAATCATCCGCTCCCGTGTGGGGGTTTGTTCCCAGATTGAACCACCTGACGGGACATAAAACAAGGAAGACCTGTTTTTAATGACGGGTTGAAAGGACGTTACGCAACAGGAGCAATGTACAAATGTGCAGAGGTGAGAACATGTTAAAACACATTTTATCATTCTGGGTAATTTATTCTCTTTCAGACATGGAACATGTTGATTTGAACAATTTGTTCAAATGATGTCATTTTTTTGTCATGAAGGTGATTTTTAAATTCATGTTCTTTCTGGTTTTACTCAGAGAAGACGAAACCTTTCTGGAAACGGTGATGATGCTTGTGCAATATCCACCAGTTATTTCGCCAGATGGAGAAATATCACCACAGCACGAGGCTCTGCTGCCACCACACACATAAAACCTTGTATATACTTTCTCCACGATCTTTCTTCATTCTGTACAAAAGTAATATCTTATATAATCAGATACAAACAGTTCACTGGATGAAGTTCAAATAACTTATTGAGAAAATTAAATATCTAAAATTTGTTTTAAAATTGTAAATTTACAGTGTACAGTATCTTTAATGTAAAATAGACTCAGGCGTTATTCCAACTTGTTAAATAAACAAATGAACACACACCTGGTCGACCACTCCTCCTCATCCTTGGAGCGTTCCCGTCGTGCAGCTCTTTGCTTCTCTTCTAACCGCTCTTTCTCTACATTTGATGAGTCTATAAAACACAAAAATATAGATAAAGAAGACAGAATCATGTCAGTGCTGCAGTCGTGTGTATGGAAGGAGCAGTTTTGAGCTCATGTGAGGTCACTGTTACCTATGTCTCCATTTTCCATGGCTCTGATGTCGGGCCTCAGCCGGCAGTCTGTCGGTGGCATTAGCCGCTCTGTGCCGGGTTCCAGCTCGTTTAGTGTCATGGCAAAACTCGTGAAGTTATACATCTACACAGGAGGATTCACAGAGAGGTTACAGTATGAGTCAACATCTTTTAAATGGTTTTACTTCTTATGTGACACAATATGATTTAAAAAAATGTAGTTCTTCATTTTGGACTGTGAGGCATATGATTAAACCTCGACGTGGCCTGATGCTTCTATTCTGAAGACAAGCTTGAAATATGGAAATGTGCCACTGTATTTGTTTTTAGTCAAATAGGCCTCATTCCTTGTTAGTGGGGGACAGATTAAATACAGATGTTGAAGCTGGTTTAAGGCATTTTGAGTTTTGCTAATGTATCTGTCACAGTGACTTTTAAATGTGAAAAGCAAAATAAAGCTTTTATAGAAGTTTTTTTGTTGTTTTTTCCTAAAACTGTTAAAGCTGCACTCTACACTCCTCGTTGTTCAAGCCCATGAACTGTATAAAGAAACGTACAACGTGTCTCCACTTCACTCGACTGACCAGAGACATTGTACACCAGACTTTGAGGGAGCTGCCATGTCGTCCAACTTTATATACAGTCTATATTCAAGCCTAAGTTCATTGTGTGTGTGATCCTGACCTGCGCTGAGTGAGCAGGCCGCGGTGTTATCCTCCACAATAAGGCACTTCCTGGTATCACAGTCACAGTCTCTTGAACTTCAGGCATCTCGTCTGCCTCTTCACCTTCACAGCTGGGTTCCTTCACACACACACACACACACACACACACACACACA